CCCCCCCCCCCCCCCCCGGCCAGGCCCTTGGAGGTGGTCCGAGTCCTCTGCTGGCTGCCTGTTGCCCGCCAGCCGCAGGAGCTCCGCGAAATGCCTCCACCGAGCGCAGTCATAAGCTGTTCCGTTGTGCCTGCCACTATATCACCGTGTCCGAGTGGTTAAGGAGTCCGATTAGAAATCGGATGGGCTCTGCCCGCGTAGGTTCAAATCCTGCCGGTGATGCATCTACCCTCTTGCCCGGCTCCCCCGGCGCAGGGCCCCTTTCGAGCCCCGTGTGTTCGCCACAAAGCCCGAGACGGCGCCTCCCCTTCCGCCGGGCCCTGTGTTCCCAAGGAAGGGGGCCCATTCGTCGGGCCCTCTAGCCGTGTGCTACCGGGCATCAGCGGGCCTCCCCCACCGCTTTTTTGCAACTCCCCTCTACCTCTCTTTCTCTCTCTTTCTCTCGGGGGATGCGCTCATTTTGCATGCTCAAAGGTGACAAGCTGCGCCCCAGGAGGCAAAAAGAAATGGCCCCAGCCAGGATCGAACTGACGACCTTCGCGTTATTAGCACGACGCTCTAACCAACTGAGCTATGGGGCCGCGGATGGTGGGAAGGCAGAAAGAGTGACTCAAATCTGAGGCGCCAGGAGGCGTCTCCGACGGTGGGAATACCAGGCAACGCCGCAGGGGACCGGGAAGGGGGGCAGCGGAACAAAGTGCCCAAGGCCCGGCCCGAGGCGGCGGTCGCGTGTGTTGTGGTCCTGGTGTCGGAGCTGGAGGGAAGAGGAAGATCACATCGCGGATTTCCGCGGGGCGCCGGAGCAGGTCGGCTACCAAAGGGCCCGAGACGAGAGGCGCAGGAGGATGCAGGGGGCGCGGCTTCCGGGGATAACGCCTCCCGCCGGCAGAGCGGGTGGCTTCCAAGCGGGACGGCCTGGGCCAAGGCGGGAGCCGGGGCCCCGAAGGCTTGGGGGTGGGCTCTTCCGGAAGAGGAGCCGGTCGCACGACGATCTGCGTTCCCGTTCCTGTGGCTGGCGAAGTGCCGCGTGCGGGGGGGGGGGGGGGGGGGGGGGTTTTGGGGAAGGCGGGGTCAAAAGCGGCGCCAGGTCGAAGGCGGATCTCTCCGCACGGTCGGCGCCGAGAAGCAGAGGCGTGAATGCAAGCAGGATCCAGCACGGGTGGGGGTTAGTTGGCACATGCCCGTCCGTGGCGCTGGTCATGCAACGAATCACACAGAACTCCCCGGGCGCACTGAGAGGGCAACGCACCCCGGCGC